GAAGGATTCTTCCTAAAGTCCACAATCATCTCCACGGTCTTAAGTGTATTCAGTTTCAGGTCTGATGAAGCTTTTACTATTATCAATCCCCACCATTTTGTGAATAAACAAGTGTGTTGTGGTAACTATCTTGTGAGAGTGCCTATGGGATGTTGCACAACTTTTAAATGTGTTAGTGATGCAGAATAGATTAGAGTATCTCTATTTTCTGGTTCTGCACCCAATTTTCTGCAGTGACCACTCATGCACCTGTGGGAAGTTCACAAGAATATAAAAGCCGCAACACTCTCTCTTGAATGGTTCCCAAATGCAGTTTTTCAGCAGCTGATATTCAGTAAAATAGTACCTGTGATCTGGATAGCATTATGCAGCCATCAAGCTTAGTAGCCATAGATTGCTTAATTCTCTGTGAATGTGTGAAATCCCCTTTCAGACTGAAATCTCTCCAGTCCTGCTTTCCAGGAGAGAGGGCATTTACACCTTTTTCATCAGCCAGAGTTTCAGGCAGCTGGTTATTCTGTCATGAAGATGGCAGGAAAGATCTGAAGATGAACACTCTGGTGCTCTGCTAATAAACGGTGGCCAAACCTTGTGCCTCTTATTGAGTTCCATTTGTAACGAAGTAAAATGTAATACAAGGGATCACAGAAGGGCTGTGGACACTTGAAAAAATGATTTAGAGGAGGTGCTTTGGACTCCCCCCACCTTGGTTTTTCGGCACATATGAATAATTTTTTCATTTCTCCCTAAATTCCTATGAGATTATAGCCTGGCATGAATTAGTTATCCATAATTGGTTTTTATATAAATAGCAAAGCAAACGTTAGACATGTGGTGTTATTGAGTTGTTTTATCACCTGCTTCTGTTTGAAATGCTAGGCTCCAGTCACTCCATAAACCTCTATCTGGAAGGAGCCTGCAGGAAACCTGGAACTCATATTTCATCCTGGGCTTTAGGTCATGAAGATCATACCTTCTAGCATTTAGATTTTCAAGCTAGCATGGAAAGGATGAAACACATAGACAAACTTAATAAGTGCTGCTTTTCTTTGTTAATTGCAATTTCTTTAAGAGACAGAAAATCTCTATTTATGCTCAACAGAACCCTGTAACCATCCTGTATATGCTATAAGACGCCCCAGTTGTCCCCTGCAAGAGAAACACATGGCCTTCCAAACTAAATGCCAGACCTGGCACAAGCATTCAAGTTATGTTCCTAATTATGCGTTGGGACCAATGCATCATAACTTTGTATACACAAATCTCCATCTTGTTTCTCCTCTGTACAGAAGTGTGTGGCTGTATTAAAGTGTGTCTGACACTAATGAACATTACTAGGTCCATTAGCACCTCACTGATGGGACAATGCAGAAATGTATCTTGTGTTTGCATCCACCAAATGATAAACAAATGTTCAGAGATATCTGAGGAGCAGATAGAGAGCATGGTACTGATGTTGGTTACTAGGTATGCATTTGGAGGTATGGGTTAAGTTAATGTCAGATTACACATCCTGAACTAAAGATGAGCTGATTACAATATTAAAGATGTAGCATTTACACTACCTGGGTGAGTAAGAGCAAAAGGCTGACTCAATATGCTGCCATAACTTTGCCTCCAGGGACATGATTTAGATGGAAAACATCAGCAGAAAATCAGCGATATACTCCTATAACATCAGGATATATATTGCCAAAGGGTTTAAATCCATATAACATGCTGTTGATTTCCTTTCTATTGGATGCTTACTACAGGGCCGAAAACATTGAAATTATGTCTGAATATGACTAAGGCATCACATTAGTAATGTACATATATAAAATAATGGATTACTAATATAATCATAAAAATAAAATATTCCTACCTTCTTTTTCTTATTTGTAATGCTGGCCAAAGACTGTAATAAAGACACTTCATTTCATTTCATTTCATTTCATTTCATTTCATATTAACATTCCTACCGTAATCCAGGAATTACTGTGGATTGGTTGGTATCTCAATCTAAAGCATTGGGTTTCTTGTTGATCTTGCCATAAAATGGTGCAATTTTGGGGAGCAAACGCATCACAGTTTACTGAGAGATCCGCAGGAGGGTGAGGCTTCACTGTGTTGTGATGATCAGTGATGCATCAACATAAACAAAAACACAGCATTATTTTTGGAAATAAAATTCTGAGCTACTATAACAACACTGTAAGAGTCCTCAAAATTAGACTGGAGAACTATCTAGTCCAATACCTTGCTACATGCAATGGTATGTTATATACTTTTGAGAAGACCATAAGTGGGAAATGAGGACAATAGCAACCTCTTACTTGTCACCCTGAAAATTATATTCAGCTATCACTTATTTGAAGAGTTGTAAAGTTGTAACATAGGGATGATTGGAACAAGGAAATATATAACAATCATATAAAGCAATGGGAATATGTGCCCCTTCCATGATTATAATCATGGAAGGGGCACATATTCCCATTGCTTTATATGAGTGTTGTATATTTCCTTGTTCCAATCATCCCTGTGTTACAACTTTACA